TTGCAAGCAAATTTTATGTGACAGACTGAGCTAGTCAATGGCAGATAGATAGCTCTCTGAATGAATCTGTGAGCAATTCAATCTGCCTGCCTGCTTTGCCTGATTCTGGGTAAAAGTTGCTCTCTTTTTTATAAAAAATTCAATATTTATATAAATATTTATAATATTTACATACAAGACATGCCCAGCCAAGACATGCCCAGCCATGACCACCAAGCCACATCCACAAATTAGGCCACGCCCACAGAACTGGTTAGTGGTCCCTGGGATTTTAAAATTATCGAGTTTGGTGGTCCCTGAGATCCAAAAGGTTGGCGACCTCTGCTTTAGCATATCTAGTTGGAACTTCTGAGTTCAGAGATCTTTATTTATTAAATTTGAAAGATATTCCTTGTTTTTCCTTGCACGTTTCTCTCCTCAGTATCTATATTGATATTGCTATAATGTTGCTTCTTGTCTTTTCTACCAGTTTTCTGAAACACTTTCTCAGTTCCTTTCTGAGATTTCTGTCTTGTTGACAATTTCTGCTGTTCTGATATTCAGCTTGTTTTCTTCGCTTTCTTCATTTTTGGCATTGTTGTTTCACATTCATTCTTAATGACAAGTTCATCCCATAATTCTTCTGGTTCTTTATCAGCGAGGTTCAGGACTTTGACGTGATCCCAAAGTTTTCTTTGGCAATGATGGGTATATGTTCAAGATCCTATTGTGGAAATAGACTGGCTTTTCTTTTTCTTTAGCTTAGCTTGATACTTGAGCAATTTGTGATCTGTTCCATAGCCATCACCTGGCCATGTCTTTAATGCTATAACTGAGCTCATCAGTTAGATGTTTTAAGATAGTATTAGCTGAAGAAATTATTGCGGTTGCAGAAATAACTTGTTCTCCTGCTTCATTTCAGTTTCCGAAGTCATACAGTTCAGCTACATTTATGTTTTTAAGAAGAGTCTAACAGTCATTTATCTAAATTGGTATAGGTTTTCCTACTTGAGCAGGGGGCTGGATTAGAAGACCTCCAAAGTTCCTTCCAGCTTATTTTATTCTATTCAATTTTCTGCTTTTAATATTTCCAACTTTTGGCATTTCAGTCTTCAGTCACAAGCAACACATATTGCTTGCATTGTTTCGTGTGCGCATGCACACCTTCCTGGCCCCACCACAGCCAGCCAGGGGGTCGCAATGGGAGGGGGTCACCTGTAGGGAAGCTTCTGCTGCGGCTGGCGCACGTTCCTCAGCCAGCCCGGATTTCCCAAAAGAAATAAAAGGAGTAGCGAAGAGCCCCAAGGAGATCTTGTCAGCTTGGCCCAGCCATGGCTTTCAGACACACACACACACACACGGAGAGTGAAAGATTTAATGTAAATCTTACAAAACTTACAAATATTTTATAAAACTTTATTTTAAAACAAAAACAAAAATTTAAAACATAAAAATAATGAGTCTTTCAGATGAGTAATATCTATGTTTCAAAAGAACAAATATATTGAAGATTACCCTGGCAATAAAAGCTTTGAATTTGGCTAAAGGTGAACAATACATAAACATGAATTTTTCTACTAGTTTGCCACCTGCTTGCCACCCCCCTAAAAGCTGTTCAAAAACCTTATGATTTAAGATATATTTCAGTTTAGTGTGAGGGCCACCAATTAATCTATATATCTATAAAAAGGTATTTGACCAATTGAAAATATAATGGTGTCATATTTGGAAAGCAAAGAACAGACTTGACCTATTTCATTTAAGCACAGAATTCTAGAATTAATGTCATTAATGGTAAGCAGAAGCACTAAATGCACACATTGCTAAACTATGCTGCAGATGAATCAGAATTGTTTTTGTTCTAACAGGTATATGCACAAAAACAGAGAAACTACACGAATAAAACGAGATGAAATCAAGAGACTGAAAGAATACCTCACAGTATTGCAGCAGCGATTAGAAAGGTAACATAGAAATTCTCCAGCAGAAGATAATAATAGAATTTAGTTTACTGACTTTAAAATTTAAATTTCATATGTTATAGTAGTTTTCACTGGCCGAAGTTATTTGTGTGTATTGTCTCTCATTAGTTTAGGCTAATTTTAATTGATGCTTCTTGGCATTAAAATAATCCAAGAGGTATCAATTAAATAATCTCTTAATCTACTAAATGGCAGCTGCTTATCTCAAAGATTTTAGTTGGCTGAAAGCCATCTATCTTGTTTGTGTTCTTTTGTAGACCTGTACTTCTATTCTTAGAAATCACAGTTTTGTATCATGTTTATAAAGTGAGTGTGTTTAGAACACTTTTAATGATAACATTTGAAATGTTTATGGCAGATATTTAAGCTATGGTTCTGGTCCTAAACGATTCCCATTGGTAGATGTCCTACAGTACGCGTTGGAGTTTGCCTCAAGTAAGCCAGTATGTACATCTCCTATTGAGGATCTTAGTACTAGTGCTCTTCCTAGCGGTCCTCTGTCAACACATGCAATACCAAGGTAAAACTGTCTCTGATCTGTTGAATATTTCTTGTTAAATTTCCTGAATCAATTAATTAATTGCTAAATGTTTTAAGTAATATGAATATTTTATTATCTGTTTATGAAAGTGATTTTGAAAACTTTTTTGTGATATGTGCAGCCTTATGCAGTTGGTAGCACTAATGGATTCGATTTACATGATACTTAAAAAAGTGTCATAATATATATTTAAACTGCATCAAAAAAGACACCATATTACAGAACATTTAATAAAATTGTTCACAATTAAAGATAATAAAGATGTACTTAAGTTTCTTAATGTGTAAACATTAATAACTTTTATAGTTGGAATCAAAAGGATTTCCAAAACTGGAATAGTAAATTTTGAGAAAAATGAAGGATGGGGATGGAATCCCAGGAACATAGTTTTCATTTTTTAAAATACAAATAATAGCAACTGTTCTTTGTATTTGGGTCTCACGGAAATAAAAATATGAACAATTGATACAAATATTAAATATATTTATTGATGGTTTAATTTTGTCAAAAATGCATTGCTTCTGTTTACTTTCACTAAATTTTTCATATTCTTAACAAATGTAGCACAGCAGAACAACAGGGGCCTTCTACAGAAACACAGAGCGCAGCACCTGCACAGCGATCAGTTATACACAAGCCATTTACACAATCACGGATTCCTCCAGACCTACCCATGCATCCAGCACCACGGCACATAACTGAAGAGGAGCTATCAGTACTAGAGGACTGTTTACACCGTTGGAGAAAAGAGGTGGAAAACGATACTAGAGGTACAAATTCATATATATATATATATATCCAAAAGAGGGAAATTTTATAGCAGGGAAAACATTGAAGATAAATATTCTTACTGTTTTCCAAAAGTGTAATGTATTTTGTTAAATTGCATATAAATATTTTAAGAATGAAACAATATTTAGATGTAATAATAAAAAATAATAGTGTTTGAATCAAAGGAAATTTATGTAGCCTCTCCCAGAGTTCACTGGATAAATGAATGGTACCTTTATAAATTGGATGGGTGGGTGGATGGATGGATGGTTAAAGATATGTGATAAAATAATATTTCATACAAATTGATATTGAACAAGCCAGTGTTATGATACAATTTATTTATAGAAATTCCATTTTAGATAATCCACAGTCATTGTTTTAGAATATGACATTTCTTTTTTTGTTACTTTAGATTTGCAAGAAAGCATAGCTAGAATACAGAGAACAATTGAGTTAATGTACTCTGACAAATCAATGTTGCAAGTAAGTACTCTTTTTGTATAATACAACATTTTTAGTGGTACATTTTACACATGTTAAGAGTTTAAATACATTTATATTACTATCAAGACAATGTAAAATGCCTGTGTTTTTGAAGATTAAGATATGAATCTTCAGCACAAACAAGACCTCCTAATGTACTTTCCAATTCCATTTTTCAGGAGATGAGTGATTATCAGTTTCAGTTTGAGTAGCAATCATTATGTTATTTATTTTAGTTCACCATTTGTAACTTGAATTTGAACTTGTGGATATAAAACAGTTATGAGCCGATATATAAAGAAAGCAGTAAAGTCTAGTTACCAGCAAAAGTACAGAATGTATCATTTATTCTCCAAGAATCATATTGCTTATTGTCAGTCTGCTAAATTCTTATGCAGTTTCAAACTGGAACATAAAGAAACTAGATGTTAATACCCTGTTTAAACATGACAATGGTCAATACTTGTAAAATATTTCAGGTATTGGTGAGTGAAATAAAATGCAGGGGACATTTTTTTATCAGATATAGTTAAATACCTCATTCATGTGTTTTATATTACCTGTTTCTGCCATTCATAATCAGTATATAAGTTCAAAGGGATATATAATGCTCTTTATGTCAGGAGCAAAACAAATTTTACTTGGAAAGTCTGCAGTAGAAACATCACTATTATTGCCAGAATGTAATTGCACAGCTTTGCATGAGCAGGTGAAAAAAAAACATTCTTGTATTTTTATTATGACAGAGTTGCTGATCCATAGTATCTTGATTTTATTTGATTTAGGTTCCTTATCGGTTACATGCGGTATTAGTTCATGAAGGCCAAGCTAATGCAGGACATTATTGGGCATATATTTTTGACAGTTATCAACAGAGGTGGATGAAGTACAATGATATTTCTGTGACAAAATCTACTTGGGAAGAGCTTGAGCGTGACTCATTTGGTGGTTATAGGAATGCAAGTGCTTATTGTTTAATGTATATCAATGATAAAGAACCACTTTTTATACAAGGTAATATATAATGTTGCTCCCTGTATGTGAATAATTTAATATATTACAATATTCATATTACTAAACAAATCACATAATATTTAGTATTGCTTGAGACTGAGAGAGGCAAGGAAAATATAGTTTAATCTGAACATACCTATCTAAATTTTTTGTTGTGATTCAGTTTGGATACTGCTGAAACGTAAATAAAAGGCCTCTGTAAAAGCAGGTATGTACATGTATGATACATTGTGAGCTGAAGGGGAAGGCAGGGGAGAAGTGCCCTGTTCATTGCATTGCTTCCATTTTCTTCAATCCCTTTCCATACAGTTCCCTAAAATAAGTTACACACATATACTTTAGAAACTGCATCAGCTGATTTCTGGCCTAAAATTCTTGCTGAAAAATTGTTCATCCAAAGCTTTTCAAAGCATTGATGCTGATGAATAAGAAAGGTGTTTCACCCTTCTCATAACAGTTGACTAATCCATCTGCAAATCATTATATAGATGGAACGAAATAAAGAAAAATATTAAATAATAGCCAAGTTTTTTTTTTTTTTAAAAAAAAGACTAAATAAAGCTATATAAAGTCTGAACTGTCACCTGTAGAAGATTTGATATTCTGAATGACGTTATATCTTTATCTCTTACAGAAGAATTTAACAAGGATACTGGGCATATGATAGTTGGATTGGATACCTTACCTCCTGATTTAAGAGATTTTGTTAAAGAAGACAATAAACGTTTTGAAAAAGAGTTAGAAGAATGGGATGCACAGGTTTCTTTGAAAACTCAACAGGAAAAAATATCCCCTATGCCCAGGATGCCTATGTCATCTACTGCCCGAGGTTAGTAAGGAAAGTAGTTTTATAATGCTTTTTCCTTCTATCAATATTATAATTAAAAATATCACACTACGGTAGCAAACATAACCTGCTGTGCCATGAGTGTCCAAGAACAAGAGTGTTCCATCTATACTTGATATATAGACTACTTTATATCTACCTACACCTAATAGCAGCTAATACTTAAAATGTGCAAGCATATTTCTTTTTGCTGTTAGTTAAATCAAGTCCCAAAGAGATATCATGCTAACTTATTTATAATAGACTTTTCCTTTTTATACTAAAAAAATCATGGAGAAGAACCAGAGTATTTGGAACAACCCTCAACAGCTGATTTCTCAAAACAGTTGAAAGAAGACTCTATACGAGCAATCACAAAAGCATTTACTGAACAAGAAGATAAGAATCCTGAAACGATTATGCACATGGTAAGGTTCTTAATATATACATTTTTAAATTTTAAAACAATCCTACTAGCTCTGTTTTAGTATACTGTACATAACAGAGTTTCCATTTGTTTTTCAGCCTCCTCAGATGGTTGTTTCCTTCTCTAATTGACTATTAGAAATTGTTATAGAAGATTTGGAACAATTATTATTTTACATTAGTTATTACTGGCTAAATAAGTCACATTATGGCAAGCTTTGAATTTACTTATTTCTTTATCCTGTACCAAAGAAAAACTGTATGTTTTCTTGGAAAATTTTTCTGGATGAGACTAGGTGCTGGTATCTTATTAACATGTAAAAAAAACTGCCCCTTTTTGCCAGATGAAATTGAAAATTGGTTTGAAGTACGCTTTCAGCAAATGTTTTAAATCTCTTGACCTTGCATGTAGGCATAAGAATTGGGAAAAGTATGAGATTGATGTTTATTACAAGGGCCCTCTTACATTGCATTATTTGGATATGAGCACTAAATATCTTTCTATGTATCTGTTACTGCATAGTGATAATATATTTTCAAATGAAAAGACCAGGCAAGTAGATATAATTTAAACTATTTCTAGAAATAATAAAATCATGTCCTTGAATGTTATACCCAGAAACAATTTTACAATTGGTCCACTGCAAAGTAACAGTGAAAAGAATCTTGCCATCTTTCATTATCTCAGAGCTGTAGTCCAATAGCAAGTTCAGAGCCAGTAATTAATTCTTGGAGGATACTGTGCCAAGGTTAAAGAAGAAGGACTGCACAAAAGCACATATGTCACTGACTCCGTTTCTTCGCAAGAATACTGAGTACATTAGTATTTTTCCCCGAAGCACTGACAATAGGCATTGAATTGGCATAAAGAGAAAGGTTTTTTGATATAGCATATTAGTAAGGCCATACAAGTGCCTTGCATGAGTGACAAGAAATATTAAACTTATTTTTTTCATAAAATGGAAAAAATCACCTCTGTAATTGGCTATTTTCCTGAAGTAGCCAAGGGTACCACAAAAAATGGAAATTGAGCATAACTTGTTTTTGAAACATGTAGCCAGCCAAAAGATTAAATGAATTGGCATGACCTTGCTGCAGATGCTGATGCACTTGAAGTCAATGTCTACAGTAGCTGTTGAAACAGAAAAATGTTACGTTCTTGGATTGATATTCTTATTAATACCAATTTGTAGGTGTAAATGCCTAAACAACAAGGTGCCAGTTTCTTTGAAATTTACATTTTAAATGATTTCACATTACTTCATTTTAAAACTAATCTTATGTTTCAAAGGAAGAAGTACTGGAGTAAGTTGTACTGAAGAAGATATTCAGGAACTATAGATAAGGACGGATAGAAATTAATAAAGAAATATGGATAACATTTAACCAGAATCAGTATCCTAACAAAAGCTTATATGTACTTTCAAATAAGAAATTATAAACTAATTAAATATAAATGAAAATCAACATGGAGCTTTATTTGAATGTATTAAGTTTGTTTTTATTCTTACTGTTGATACAAAGTATGTTCAGAGCATCTGGAAATAAAGCTGTTTATAAATGAAGTAATAAATTGCATACAAATGAAGAGGAACATAACAGAATAACTGAGTTGGAACCTTGGAGGTCTTCATACATATAAAAATTTATATGGATTACAATAAGGCCTGTTAGTTGTTACTAATGATATAGCATCATTTGTTAGGGTTACCTATTAATAATTCTGACAATGGAGCCTGGCATACTAGGGTCCATATCGTGAAGAATTGGACATAACTTAATGACTGAACAATAGCACTTCTATTTCATAAACAGTTAAGAAAGAGGGAGACAAAGCTTTGTTGCTCAAATACGAAGTGTATGTTACTACATACATACAGTGTATTAAAGATAAGTGAGCATATTTGTGTTTATAAGCATTTTCATTTTAAAGTAAGCATTCTTAAATGAAAGGAAAAACGTTAACATCTCTTGACAGCAAAAATTAATAAAGTTAAAACTGTAACATAAATTCTGATTGGTTTCTGGTCATTTTGAAGAAGAAACCATCAACACTAGGGTAAACGCACCCCACAACCAACAAATTTAACCCATCTCTGTCCTTGAAAATCCATGTGCATAAAATATGTCCATTACTTCTTTGCTAAATCTTTTCCCAAAAAACATTGTGTGTCCTTTTGGATATTGTGGGTTTTTAAAAATATACATTTATAACTCCCTAATAAAACAAATAATTAAAAATTAAAGATACATATAAATATAGAATAAGATTGATAATATTCTCACTGCAATTGCAGTTTATCCGATAATTTGATAAATCTATTATCAAATTGATTTTTGTTTTCATTTATTTTTTTAATCTACAGAATTCTCATAATGACCCAATTGGAACAGCTCCAAATCAAAAAGTTGTAGAAGTGACGATTCCTGATATAGGGACATACGTGGTTGAGTCAGAGGAAGGGGGTTATGATGATGAGGTATCATCTTCAACTTGGTCACAAATTGTTACATCTTTCATGTGCTGTACATAGGTGCCTGATAAGCCTTTGGCATGCTTGCACATGATAGAAATTAACTAGCATTTGCTTTTTAACAAACTTCAGTTTGTTTATTGATATTGACCAAACCAGAAACTGCTGCTGCTGCTTTGTTTCTAATGGCACATTTATTTGCATGATATAAAATTAAACTTAGATCATCCAGATATATAAATTTAGAATTTGCACATTGTGTTTGCAATACTATAAATCAGGTGTGTCCTTACAACATTTAAATATACAAACCACAAATTCACCGTTAAGTATTATTATTATCTAAAAATTTCTCGCCTATTTTTTTTTTGAGATATAAAGAATAAAAACAATAAAGATCTAAGGACATAACACAAAGATAGAACTTTAGTTATTCAAGCTAAAAAGTGCATAGCCAGTTTTGATACAAAAATTAAGACTTCAGCCTAGGCTTTAAGAATCATACTGTATCCAAGAAGGGCCAGTGCCATGTCTTCCAAGTCATATACCAGTCACAATAGAATATGCCAAAAAAGTTATCTCTTTGTCAAGCAAGATGTTACCATCCTCCAAAATTTTACCCACAATATTGGAGATTCTGTATACATCAGCTTCAGTGACCATATAGTTAAAAATTAGTGTCCTTTTATCCATTTAAAATCTTAAATCATAAGCTCTTTTTAACCTTTTTGTTAGTAAGTCAGAATTCATTAAGATAGTGGTATCGACATCAACATCATTCTTGTTGATACTGTTTTAAGATAGTGGGGTTTTTTTCCCTTTTAATTCCCAAAACAAGGTGACTCACCAGATGTCTTTATTCTTTCCTGGAATTTGCAAGACCTCTCTTAAATTATAAATTAATTGTATACATCCAAAAGTATTGAAGAAAATGAGGCTTTTGAGGGTCAATAAAGGGTACACAGCAGTTTTGATCATGGAGGTAATCACAGTTCAATTTCCGCTTATGGAGATGCTCACAGGGACATCTAATTTTCCAAAGGTCCTCACCTTGAAGCTCATACATTACTGGTAGAGTAACCTACACTCAGGTACACTCTCGGCTGTGAAAAGCCTATGAATACCTTTAGGCCAATTACTTTCATTTAGCTGAGCTTTCTTCTGAGGGTTGTCCATGTGGCATTTCAATAAAGGAAGATAGACTGGTAAAGCACTTTGAACATTTGGAATAAAATGAGAAAAATGCAACAAATTTTTTTTTTTCCAGAAATAGAACTTAAAACAGAAACCATGATGCTTTGGATTGTAGAATGCTAAGTTAGTTTCCCTATTGGAGACCTTGAAAGGGGAAAATAAAAGATTTATACATGGTTTACACATCTGAAATACATGCCAACCAGCCACACATATCAAAGGGAGGAAAAATGATTTTATTATGCACATTTTACACACACATATACACACCCTCATTACATTTTGTATCTTATTTTATGAAGATTGGAGAAATTTTGGATATCTTGGGCATTTAGTAATTCTTTATTATTTCTGAGAAATATAGATTTAAATTCTAGTTGTAACAAAATCACTCTGCCTCATTGTTCCCTGATATGTAGTAGACCATTTGCATGTGCATGAAATGATAAATACCTTTTTAAATGCTTGAGGTTAGTTCAGACATAAATTTAGATCAGGTAATTAAAGTGCTATAACGAAACCACTGAAGCAAAATCTAAACATCTGCCACTGCAGTTTGTGCATGCAGTTGCTATATGACATGAGTATTGAAGGCACATACTGACTTGAATTTATATTTTTCATTGCTCAATATATACATATATGAATCTCCTGTGACAGGTTATGCTGACCCCGAACATGCAAGGTATTATAATGGCTATAGGTAAAGCTACGCATATATATGACAGGTGTGGGCCAGAAGCAGGGTTCTTTCAGGTACAATCAATACTTTCAATTTTTCCTTTTCTGACTGTTTTTGTACTTTAATTTGTTCTTTGAATTTTTAGTTCATTTATATTTGAATGTGTTTCGTTGGAATTTCATCATCGTATTTGGTAGTATCTTTATAACAATGCAGTTTTTACTTTTCCTTGAGATCAGTAAAATTGGAAACTTCAGTACAAATTTCAGTAAATTGATATATTCACACATTAAGTACTGATGATAATGGTTTAAGAGGGGTTTGTTTTTAATATTATTTTAATATTTTTAATCTTTTAGACTCATTAAGAAAATAGGTCATAAATGCATTTCCTAAATGAGAAAAAAGAGGGGTTTGGTGGTTATCTAGTAACCCATGCACAGAAAATTGATGAAATTACATAAGATATTAGTGCATTTACTCACTAGGAGAAACAATTATTATGGCTTTAAAATTAAGTCTTTTAAACATAACCACCCACAGACTTGCTTTCTATTATAATTACCTAAACCTGCCTCTTGCAATAAATTTACAGTAACTTCAAAATCCAACAGTTGAATTGGTGACTCCCATTTCTTTTCTCAATTTTTTATTAGGTACATAGATCTGTCAATAGATTAACAGACAGATATATCAGTCTCTATTGCTTGAATTAAATTATACATTTGTCCTAGCACAAATAATGACTGATAAATTTTCCCCTCTTCTTCTGCTAGCAAACATAAAAACACATATGTAAAATGCAAAACATACAAACTGTTTTGATCCCAAAATAGATGTGAGTTTAGATCATTCTAAAAGTTAAATGTAAAATTTATTGTAAATTTATCTTAAAGTGGAAGATCAATGAAGTCAACATTCCTGTAACATAGTATAGAATTCATATTCTTGTTCTAACTATGGAACCTAAATAAAGAAATTTGTATTAGAGATAGCTAAAGAAATTAATAAAAGGAAAGATTACTCATCCCTAAGTCTTTTATGACCTCAGAAAAGCTACATTTATAAATAAAATGACAGTGAAAGCTGATTGGAGCCGGTGGGATATGGATTTATTCCCATAATGCAAGAAATTTTCTTTATTTGCTTGTTTCTACTCCATTATAGAAGATAGTGTGTAATATGCTACATCTCTTAAGCCTTTCACAGGTTTCCTCTCACACTTGCATCGTACATTATTACATACCTGTTTATTTTTTATTAAAATCTGGGTATATTTAACTCAAAATATAATAAATGGATATATTATATCCTGCATAATTCCAAAGCTGTTAACAGTCATTTCCTGATTCTGTTTTAATGTGAAACCTAAATAATTTAAGATCTTCCTTGGTATTTGCATAGCAGCACAAAGGGATGGATAAAAGAATTATATGCATAGTTATAAACTTGTTTGCACCCTACATTAAAAATCCAAAAGACATTTGCTTTTCAGTTAAAACATAGCATAGCAAACCTGTGTGGTAATTAACACATTATTTTCATTATATAAGTTATGAAATTGACTTACATTCCTAAACAGATAAGATTCCAGATGCATATTTCAAATTATATTGATTCAATGATATATTACGTTGTTGTTTTTATGTCTATGTGTCATATTTTTAACTGTATAAGTGTTGTATGTATAGGAAACGATAGCACATTCTTATGAATCCTGTTTATTTTCATTTCTTTAAAAATACTTCAGTTCTTTTCTATGCTTTGTGTATAAAGATTGTATTTATTGTAACTTGTTCATTGTACTCTAGCAAATGCATATTTATTAAACACTGTTTGGAGTCCAGTGCTAATATAGGAATAAATTTGATTAAGTGTTTCAACTATGCAGTGCAGTACAAAACATTGGTCTAATACTATGCTTTCTTTTTTTTAAATAAAATCAATTTTCCTTAGAAAAGGAAGTTTATATTTAACTTAAATAGATTTTTGTTCTACGTTATCACAAAAACAAAATTTGCAACCCAACATTATTTCTAAAGAAATGCTAACTAGCAGCCTGTGTTGTTCAATCACACAACTCAACTCTGTTTGTTATTTTTAACATTTATATATAATTTTCATGTGCTTAGGGCCCATATGTTTTAATACGATAAGTAAGATCTTTAGTTTTGAAAATGGACAGTTCAATAACATCCAATTTCTTATTTTGTATTAAGGCAATAAAATTTGAATATGCAAGATTACTCAAACTGGCTCAAGAAGACACACCACCTGAACGTGACTATCGTTTGCATCATGCAATTGTATATTTCATCCAGAATCAGGCCCCAAAGAAAATAATTGAGCGAACATTGTTGGAGCAGTTTGCAGATCACAATTTGAGCTTTGATGAAAGGTAATTATGTAAAGAGGCTTATATAAATTTATAAATATAAAATTGTGTCTAAGTACCCTTGGTGTAAATGGGTCAGCTTTTTTAAAAGAATATTCTGCAAAAAATAGTTAATTTTTCTAATTCATAGTGATCCAGACGGTATTCCATTACCAATTTTGAATATCATTAATGTTTTATTTATGCTAAATGTTAGTGAAATAAAGTGTATTAGTAATACATTTTATTTGAATATTCCCTCCACACCCCAGGAATATATATATGAAACAGTCATATATATTCTTGGTAGAAAGAAATACTGTTTCATTTTCAGTAATATTGAAAGGTTTAAGAAAAACTTAACGTCATACTGCAACTGCAACCCCACCTTGTGACACTTCATTATGTTTAACTTAGTATAGATGTAGAAGTCAAGATGAACCCCCCCCCCAAACCAAAATAGAGTGTTTGATCAAAAGCCTTGCTCACAATAGCAATAGCACTTAAAGTTATATACTGCTTCATAGTGCTTTACAGCCCTCTCTAAGTGGTTTAAAAAGTCAACATATTGCCCCCAACAATCTGGGTCCTCATTTTACCGACCTCTGAAGGATGAAAGGCTGAATCAATTTTGAGCTGGTCAGGATCAAGCTCCTGGTAGTGGGCAAAGTCAGCCAGCCTCTAATACTTCATTCTAACCACTGCACTACCACTACAAATAGGTTGATCTTATTTTAAAATAAATGTAGCGAGTAGCAGATATACTGTATCTTAAACCAAAGCTATAAATTATTTGCCTGGAATGTTACTCTGATACTTGTTGCTCTGAAGCATGACTAATATCTTCATTAATTCATTTTCCTTTACTTCCTAAGGTGCCGTAACGTGATGAAAGTGGCTCAAGCCAAACTTCAAATGATAAAGCCAGATGAAGTTAACATGGAAGATTATGAGGTTAGGCTTCTACTTTGAAACTTGTTCAGTAAATGTATTTTAACCTACAGAACAGGCAAAAACTCCAATATAACCTCAATTATTTTATAACCAATTGTTGGATATTTTTAATAAAACTTGTGGCTAGAACTGCCTGGGCTTGCAGTTAGTCATCTTTATGCATAATACAGGAATTAAAAGGAATGGAAAAGATATTTTTTAAAAAAATCAAGCCAGTAAAGTGTTTTGTACTTTAAAAAACTATTAGTTTTTCTCATTGATGTGAATGGCTGCAGAGTTTTTGCAGATATGCCTTAAGTAAGTGACATTAGTGAGTTTAATATTTATTTCTCTTCTTGTCATTTCTATGCAGTGGTGGCACCAAGAGTACCGAAATTTCAGAGATACAACAGTATATCTCATGGTGGGATTGGAACTTTTTCAAAAAAGGAAGTAAGAGAATCCAAAAACTGTTATTAAAATTAATACAATACAATACAATTAATACTTGAAGCTATACTCTACTCCTAAGAAAAGATTATTATATTAAAACATTATAAATACTATATCAAATCTAGAAACTTTATAAGATAGTACAAAATTGTACTGCATTGTACCTAATCTTAATGGTGAAGGGTTCCTAATGTAGACAGTGTATCAGTTATATTCCTCAAAGGATGATATATAAGTGAGTACTATTTCAGAACTTGCAAACTGATTTCCTCTATAAACAATAACAAGTAAATCCTTTTCTGTCTTTTCCTTTTTCTAAGCTATGATTTTTAAAAAATTATATTTTGTTTTGAACAAAACAGAAAATGGTTATGAAAGAGATTGTTTTAAATATTGGAACAGAACCAAACCAAAATATAAATTAATATGTAAAAGGATAGAGAAGCCTGTGACAGAAGAAATGTTCAGTTTTCATTCACAAAAATAGTCAAATGATAAAAAATAAAATTCATTTAGGTCATGCACAAATATTGAAAATTCAAAAGGTTCTGAAGCTTTTAAGTATCATTATATAATTGTCAGGATTCCAGCAATCACTGTAATTAAATCATGATTCATAAAACATTCCTATGTCTGTTTTAGTAGTTGCCAACAATACTGTTTCTATGGCATACAATTTCAGGTGCTGGTAGTAGGAGACAGACCAAGAGAGAAAGATGATAGATGAAAGTTTGTATATTACTGTCAATGTATGAAATTAGCCATTTTATAGAATGTCTAGGAAATGTATAGAATGCAAAAAATTGGACTACTTAATATTTTACACATTACCTATACATTCTATGAAATGCCAAGATGCAAACCAGCAAAGTATAAAATACTCCTGGTAAAATGCCACTCTAGCCTTCCTTGTTGCAATAAGTAAATCAGTACTGATCTTTCTTCTCTTTCTTTTTTCCCCCCCATAAAAGTCCTGTTCTTTATTTTGTATTTTTTTCTCTCATTTTCATATACATATTTTCAATAAAGGTTTATGGTTACAGTTGGGGTTAGAAAAACTCAAATAGTGCAAGATCAGAAAATGTGATCTGACTCATAGAATCGCCAAGAGTTGGACTGAATTGATAACAACTTCATCACCAACTCTAACCCTTTTCAGGATTCCCTTTTCATACTTTGCCTGAATAGTTCTTGTCATTCTGCATAAAACATAGGTATTATATAAAATGCCTAGGAAAAGTATGTAGCATATTAAAACGACGTAGACATTTCTTACTTCACCTAAAAACGTCATCTATTCTATAGATTTCCTAGGCATTCTGTACACTGCCAGCTTTTCATACATTAGATGGGTAGGTGGGTAGATAGATAGATAGATAGATAGATAGATAGATAGATAGATAGATAGATAGATAGATAGATAGATAGATAGATAGATAATTATACATAAGTTGTTTCCATTATACTTTTTCCTCACAATATAAAGATTTAAGCAATCTTATTGTTTTATTTCAGTGTTTTGTATATGTCTAAATATTGATTATATGATGATATATTTCAAGTGTGTGTGTGTGTGTATTAAAATGATTTTAATGGCATTTGTAAATATTTTTCATTTTCTAGTTTTAAAGAAGCTTTGTTATATCTTATATGTGCATACCACAAGAACAAAGAACTCTCAGCAAATGGTTTGTATAGGGGGCATGATGAAGAACTTATATCCCATTACAGAAGAGAATGTTTGCTGGTAAGTAAAATTCATATTTGAGATTCCCATGATTCTAGTAGGTAGACTTTTTATTTTTTTAATAAAATCATAATCAGTTTAAAAATCACTCTCAATAATTGTATCACATTTAATGCCAATCTTGCTATTAAGAATTGAGCTGACTTAGGCTTTTCAAATTTAGTTTGCTGTCATGTTACTTGAACCGTATTGCATTCATTGTTACAGAGAGGTTATTACTTATGCTGAAGTTATATCTATACCTTTTTGCATGGGGAGAAAAGTCTATTTGAAAAATTGGATCTCTCTGGAAGTAGTATAAATATTTACTGCTTTGTGGTTGTTGTTTTTTATTGCATGAAGAAATTAAATGAGTGTGCTGCTGCACAGTTTGAATCTGGAGATGATCAACAGGTAAATAAGGGCCTGGAAATTATGAATGAGCTTATCGTCCCTTGTCTACCATTATTGCTGGTGGATGAAACAGAGGAAAAGGATATTGTTGCTGTGGAAGATATGAGAAACAGGTGGTGTTCATATCTTGGACAAGAAATGGAGCGTAAGTTACCTCTCTATATATATTTTTAGATACAGAGTATATAGTAATTATATGATTTATAATTTACTCGAATAAATTGCATTTCTTGGATTTGGACATATCAATTGAATAGCAAAACAAAATATCCTGAATTTCTATTCACGTAGGAGTGATTTGAATATATTCTTAAAAGTTAATGTATGGAAAATGGGGAGATAAATTGGGTTGTTATGGTGAAAATGTTAACATATTTTACCATTAATAGGCACAACCTATCAGGTTGACCAAAAAGCAAAACACATACTTATTAAATTTGATGTATTATATTATTTACATTTGGTAAGGATACAAACTCTGTATAATAACACTTAACACATACACCATGTTTTACTGTTAAAATTTCTTGTCTAAGTTGACAATAAAGCATTAGATTATTCATTGCTCAAACCCAAGCCAAAGTTTATTCCCACACATATGGTAATCCATTGCTTTAGTGCATAGACTGACACTGGAAAGTTTGTTATTATTAATCTTGCTCTTTATAATGCAATAATTCTTTTCATCCTCTGAGATGCCTATATAGATTTTCAGCTACAGGAAGCAGTTTTATAACTATAGCTAGAATCAGTCTTCACTGAGAGATTTTATAAGATGTTTTTATTGTTCCTTGATAATTGAGAAAAAAGTTCCAAAACTATACATAACTACATTTTTTCTTTACAGCTAATTTACAAGAAAAATTGACGGATTTTCTGCCAAAATTGCTAGATTGTTCTACAGAAATTAAAGGCTTCAGTGACTCACCAAAATTACCTTCTTATTCCACCAATGAACTGTGTGAGCGTTTTGCCCGAATCATGTTGTCACTCAGTCGAACTCCAGCTGATGGAAGATAAACACTGAAGACCTTCCTTAAGCACACTGTATAAACTGGTTTTTTATTCTTAATCCTTGCCTTCCTGTCACAGGATTTGCTTGTTGCTGCTATAGTTTTTAACTCTTTAATTTTAATAACTAAGAAAAGAAAGAGGATTGTACAGAAATTAGCCAGACTGCAGGCAATATTACTGAGAATCGCATGGTACTCAGTTCCTAATCAGCCAGAATTTGTGCAACATTACAAGTCTGATTTTATTTTGGCAAACCTGCTTTTTTGCCACTTACCTGTTACAGTATTATTTTAACTTAAGATCCTTTACTTCATGAACAGTTTTCTGTTCGGTCTGGACTATTCTGTGACTCCATCAATTTTAAAGTGACCAGTGTAAAATACATGATACCTGGTAGCGTGTAAATTACATCAAAGAATAAAAAAGTTTTATTTATGGCTACTTTGGTTGCAAATGAATTATATTTTTTTAAATGAGAAATTTATATTTGTGAATTATAAACCTACATTTTATATATGGTATGTAACATAAATTGATAATGATAAGTAGCGCAGGCAGGCATAAGATCCTTGGAAAATTGTTGGTGTTTAAATTATATGTTAAATACTTAGCACACAGAAAGTTTCAGGCATTTGGACTCCAGTGTCCTCAGCCTATCAAGTTTTAATACTGTGGTGGTCATTGATTTCCATTTCCAGAACCAAGTGGTGTCTAAACTAATAAGAGACCCTGCTGTTGGTCTTACCTGCCTACTTAGCTTATCTGAATCACACAGACTTCAGGACACATGTTCTCAATTCTTTAAATTGGAAGAATAACCACTACGCAAAGAACATTAGGTCTTTGATAGCAGACACTAGGCAGAATAAGGGCAATAGGAATTACAGGTAGTCCTCGACTTACAATAGTTCATTTAGTGACTGTTCAAAGTTACAGCAGCATTGAAAAAAGTGACTTAGGACCATTGTTCACACTTATGACTGTTGCAGCATCCCCATGGTCACATGATCAAGATTCAAATGCTTGGCAACTGACTCATATTTATGACGGGGACAGTTATGACCATTTTTTGTGACCTGACAAGCAAAGTCAACGGGGAACCCAGATTCAATTAACAACTGTGTGACTAACAGTTTAAGTGATTCACTTAACAACTGTGGCAAGAAAGGTCGTAAAATGAGGTACAACTCAATTGTCTGATTTAACAACAGGATATTTTGGGCTCAATTATGGCTGTAAGTTGAGGACTACCTGTACTGCTGTTTTCCATAATGTAGTTTCTATGACCTCTGTATAAAATTATGTGAAGGTAAATTGAAATTTCCATTTAAGAGTTATTTACATTATTTCTCATCTATTGCTTAGAAATACATGGCTGACATATTAGAAAAACAAATTGTTAGGGATTTTTAAGATTATAAATTTGCCAATATGAATAGTGTAGTTAAACACTTTTCTATTATCAGTCATCATTAAAAATGTTAAATTACACATACATAACTGCAATTGTCGCCAATTTTTCTTGTGAAAGAAATGTTTACATTAAATAACACTAACAGAAAAATCAGTGTATTGCTTTAATTTATAAGTGATTTATATGGTCAAGATGTAACATGTTTATATTTCCCTGTAAGTCTCAAGACCCCTTTGCAAATAATTTCTGCAGTGATTGGGTTATTATCAAATACATGCAAATAAATAAATTGAAATGCTTCAGTAACCACTTAAACATTAGTTTTTTTCAATTTTAAGTCATTAAGCAAGTAAAACTAAATATTGCTTTTTTATAAGAAGCAGTGCAGAAGTTTTTTGATAATATATATCTATCCAAGATGACAACATGGTAACTTCAAATTTGATGAACGAAACATCTGAAAATACATGGTAACAATTTCTTTATTTTTCTGGTAATTTGTTTAATTTCTAGATGTCAATTTTATTTTTATGAGGTTTGATAGTATGAAAAAGGTTTATTGTAACAAATTAGAAAAAAATTATTTTATGTATATCTTTATAAATTATTCCATTCCCAGGAACAGACGGAAATACAGACGGAAATTCTATTAAATCAAAACCAGTAAAACATAATAGAGATTAAATAGGTCTGTTGAATAAGGCACAGAATCATTCTGTAACTATTCTTTTATGTATCACTTTCTCCTTTCCATAAGAATGCAAGTCAACAAATAACATTTTAAAGATAAGTCAAGAAATTGACCTGCTTAATTTTCACAAAGTTTACTTTTATCACTTAAGAGTAAGTCATGGATCTGAAATCCTCTAGATCCTTTTTAGTATTTTGTAATTTGAAATTTTGTAGTTTTATTTCAGAAATGTATTATTACTATCCTGATTCAAGTCATTAGTAACAAATTCTTCACAGAAGAAAAAAATAGATTTTTTTTTAAAAAATAGATACAATGTTATCTCAACTTTAGACTTTTGGAATTACCAGTGCTTATTTATTAAATATTTGTTAAAATTGTTTGATAGACAAATTGAACCAAAATACTTTCATTACTATTCAGTTGTTCCCCATCCCTACCTATTGTTAAATTTCTTAAAATTTAAAATCAAAAATCCATATTAATGGATAATAACAGTGGTACTGAAGCATTTTGGTGGTCTTTTGACGTATATAATTCCTCCTATTTGCTTTTGTTTTATTTGTGTTAGATTAATGAATAATAGCCTGAGTTGTTCTTTATTGGATTATTTTTAATTGTCCATTGTTTTTCATTTTAGTTCTGTGAGAGACCTATTTCTTTATACAGAATAAAATAATTTCTTGACTTATTGAAAAAGGCCTTTACTCATAGGAGTGAACAGCCCTGGATAAATTCAACAGTCCTCAATTTAGCAACCATTTGAGATTATGACAGGATAAACAAAATAGCTTTGCAAGCAGTCCTTAACATTACCATCACAACACCTTGCAGTCACATGATTGTCATTTCTGTGCTTCACAATTGGCTTGCAGCAAGCAGAGTTAATAGCAAAAGTGGAAGTAAACATTCTCTTCACATGATGTGCCACCTAATGATCACAACACTTTGCTTAACATCAGAAAGAGAAGTGAGGTAAGCTTGTTATGGTCACATGATTTTCCATCTACTGTCTGTGTTGCTTAGTGATGGATTTCCCAATTGTGATCACTAAGTAAGGACTACCTCTAATAGTATTTTATGTTGAAGGAATCTATTTAATCTCACTTTCAACTGATTATGGAAATACTTCCTAGTGATCCTAAAGTTGAATCAGTATGGTGTATATTTGAAGCTCAGAGGGAGATAACCATTTCATGAGTGAAAGCATTATGACTTTTTACATGAAAAAGCTACTTTATGTGGATTTGGAACGGTGAGCACTAATTTGCATTCATTGTGACAGCAGATTTTTAGTAAGGTCCCCCCACTATCGCTATAGGGAATTTGGATAGCAGCTGGAACTTTTCTAATTTCACCCTTTCTTTTAGAAATAATTGGAATTAATATACATGTATCCATATGGAAAGACGTGCATTTAGCCAATCCCACAATATTTTAAAATTAATAGATAACGGATAGTTATTAAAATTCTTAGTTGCAATTCTGTAAGCATCTGTATTGTGTTCAATGTTCTCTCTTTTTTGAGATGAGTATTTTTTGTCAAGCCATCTAATTCATAGAAGAAAGATTAACTGTTCCTTAGCCCTTTGCAACCAAATGATACCAGTAGTTAAGATTAAAACCTCAGTTACTGATATCCTGCTGCCTTGCACTACTTTTCAGAAAATGATGGGTTCTTAGTTTTGCTCTCAAAATTCATAGTTCTACCATTCCTCACCTTTCCCACCAGGTATATAAACTAGAAATAATCTCTGAAAGTTTATTGGAGGGAAGAACAAAGAAAAGAGGATTTTTTTAAAATATGCAGACACAGTTCTCTATGGTAATATTCAATACACGGCTTTAGCAACTTTTTACAATATGTAGTTTCATTCCTTCCCTCCTTCTCCCACACAGCTTCTTTCTGTACTTTTATTTCTGGCTTCGTTTCTATCAAGAAGATGTAAAAGTAACTTTCCTGTACACATTTCATCATCATTAACAAACTGTCTTCACCAATCTCTAGACTGAAAAGTACAACCCTTTACATACAGAACTATCAGTCCATGCCTAGGCTAATAAGAAACATATCAAAGAGAGATCCAATATAGAACTAAGAAAAAATTTCCTGACTTACCAATCTGTGGAGCCTTCAGAAGTTTTGTGTGCTCCATCACTAGACGTTTTTATAGGAGATTGGACAGATTTTTCCCCCAAAAAAATTTCCTGCTTGTGGAGTGGGTGGATTGGACAAGAAGATCTCCAAGTTCTCTTTCAATTTTGTTGTTCTGTATAGAAACTCGCAAGAATTCCCAACACCCACCTGCTCCATTAATTATTCTGCTATTTTAAATGTTTTCGGCTATATAGGTGAAACTCAAAAAATTAGAATATCGTGCAAAAGTTCATTTATTTCAGTAAGGCAACTTAAAAGGTGAAACTACTCACTACAAAGCAAGATAGTTCAAGCCGTGATTTGTCATAATTTTGATGATTTTGGCTTACAGCTCATGAAAACCCCAAATTCACAATCTCAGAAAATTAGAATATTACATTCAATCAATAAAACAAGGATTGTACATAGAACAATATCGGACCTCTGAAAAGTATAAGCATGCATATGTACTCAATTCTTGGTTTGAGCTCCTTTTGCAGCGATTACTGCCTCAATGCAGCGTGGCATGGAAGCTATCAGCCTGTGGCACTGCTGAGGTGTTATGGAAGACCAGGATGCTTGAATAGCGGCCTTCAGCTCTTCTGCATTGTTCGGTCTCATGTCTCAACTGTCTCTTGGCAATGCCCCATAGATTCTCTATGGGATTCAGGTCAGGCGAATTTGCTGGCCAATCAAGCACAGTAATCCCACGGTCATTGAACCAGGTTTTGGTGCTTTTGGCAGTGTGGGCATGTGCCAAGGTTTGTTGGAAAATGAAGTCAGCATCCCCATAAAGCTCGTCTGTGGAAGGAAGCATGAAGTACACCAAAATCTCCTAGTAGATGGCTGTGTTGACCCTGGTCTTAATGAAGCACAGTGTAACAACAGATGACATGGCTCCCCAAATCAACGCAGACTGTGGAAACTTCACACTGGACTTCAAGCATCTTGCAGTGTGTGCCTCTCCATTCTTCCTCCAGACTCTGGGTCCTTGGTTTCCAAATGAGATGCAAAAGTTGCTCTCATCAGAAAAGAGAACTTTGGACCACTGAGCAACAGACCAGTTCTGTATTTCTTTAGCCCAGGTAAGACGCTTCTGACGTTTGTTGTTCAGGAGCGGTTTGACAAGAGGAATACGACATTTGAAGCCCATGTCCAGGATCCGTCTTGTGTGTGGTGGCTCTTGATGCACTGACTCCAGCCTCAGTCCACTCCTTGTGAAAGTCCCCAACATTTTTGAATGGCCTTTTCCTGACAATCCTCTCCAGGCTGCGATCATCCCTGCTTCTTGTGCACCTTTTTCTTCCACACTTTCCCCTTCCACATAACCTTCTATTAATGTGCTTTGATACAGCACTTTGGGAACATCCAACTTCTTTTGCAATTACCTTTTGAGGCTTTCCCTCCTTATGGAGGGTGTCAATGATGGTTTTCTGCACAACTGTCAGGTCAGCAGTCTTTCCCGTGATTGTGATTCCTACTGAACCAGACTGAGAGACCATTTAAAGGCTCAGGAACCCTTTGCAGGTGTTATGGCTTAATTAGCTGATTAGAGTGGGAAGCCTAGAATAGAGCCTAGAATATTGAAACTTTTCACAATATTCTAATTTTCTGAGATTGTGGATTTGGGGTTTTCATGAGCTGTAAGCCATAATCATCTCAATTATGACACATCACGGC